CTAGCCGTCGGCGCGTGCTCGTCGGGTGTGGACATGATCAAATACGGCCAGCTGCGCGGCTTACACATGGAGCATCTCGCATTCCTGTACAAGAAGTACCCGGGCCTGCTCATACTCACACCGACGATCCCGGAGGCCGGGTGGAAGATTCACCCCGACGACCAGGCGTACGGGTTCAGCGACGGCAACTCGACAATCAGGAACATGATGTACATCTGGCTTGCCAACTCGACGGGCTGCCCTGCCGTCACCGCGCCTGTTGGGTACGCCGAGGCCGAGGTCGGTGAGGGAAAGCTACCGATCGGGCTTATGGCCATGGGCGAGTGGGGGGCCGAGGAGCAGCTTCTTGCTTGGGCTAGGGAGGCTGAGGTGTATTTGAATGGTGCTCGCGAGGGTGGCCGGTTTAGGCCTGAGGGTTGGGCTGATGTTGTTAAGCTTGCTGAGGCTGCTAAGTAGAAGCCGACGCTAGACTTGGTCGAAGCGGGGCGCTTTTGGTGGGTGATGGCCCTGCCAAGGAAGAGTTGTATGATGCCCAGATCCTATAGACGCGTATACCTTGAAGACTCCTACGTTTCTTAGAATCAAGCTAACTACCTACCTATAGATGAATCGTGTAGGCACGCAGGTTGTTGAAATTATTCAAGTAGACTCTCTTTTCGTGTAAGTATCAAATCCCAAAGTATTCATCGTCATGAATCACTCAGAATAGGGTCAAACTACTGCACCGAATGCATTTGCATCCCCTTGGCACCCTTAAGAGGAAGGTGTCATTAAACCTCTTCCCGCTTCTCTACCCCAGAGAGAACGGGATATCATCAGATAACTACCGTATTGTGTCAAGACCCTTTGACCTAAAGAGATCTGACTGGAGGTGAGGTCATTCTTGTCCCTATTGCGCGAATCTTGCTGACTCTCAGCTACAGGTAATACTTCGATTAAACCAGATCCTATTCGGTCATGTTCACTTGAAACTTGGTTAGAACTTGTTAATTTAACATCGGATACGGATTTCAATAGGCATCGCACAGCCGCTATACAAACAATTAGTCATCTCGTAACAACCCAGCACAGAAACCAAGGGACACGCGTACGGCAGATTAAATACGAACCAAAAAGTCGCGGAGCTTATCGTCCTCTTAATCAACAGGCAAGATGGGGTCTCGTCGACGGACTCGACAAAAGGGTCCACTTCAGACACGACCAGGTGCTCCGATGTCACACTGCACATAACAGATACTACAGCAGCGAAAGTGTCTCACGGGGCTTTCAAAAGCACATTACAGAGAAGCGTGAATGCAGTAGGTATACGATCATCGTCTTTCCAATTATAACCCATCACTGTTATCTCCGAGCTGGCAACCTACATTGTTACCGGAGTGGGAAAATGCAGTTACCCAGCTGGCTCTTATCTGGCTGGCCTCCTTGCAGATCGATGAAACCTATATCAGCCCAATTAATGTACGTGCTTTTCTTCCCGTATGGATTCACTTCGCAGTCACGTCACGCTTTCGGGAGGTCCTTTTGTCACCTTGACTTATAGGTAGTGCCGAGAACTTGCGTACATACGGGAGGTATAAGTTGGGCCGAATTCTCATTCGCTGGTTTCGATATACCTGTCCCATTATCACTTAGCCGTCGCCAGTGCCACTCCATCCGCCCTTCTTCGAGGACGAATATGGATGCTGTGGTAAGTTGAGTTGTAGGTCGAACTTCTTTCCCAGCTCCCGCATAATATCAAACTGGCAATCTAAGGTGAATATGCCCTCCCCCTGCATCGTAACGTAGCCAATTGGATTCCAAGATACATGTTTCCGGCGTCGCGATCCTCATCCAAAAATGGCATTGGGAGTATACTGTAGTATGTCATTTGAAGCATCACGATTCGAATATGGAAGTTGTTACACTCTTCGCCTATTATACAGCATGTGTCACGCTTCGCCAACATGCGGTTTCGCATCATTAAGCTGCAGCTTCAAAAGCGGCTCCTAAACTAACCCTTGGTGGAGATCTGATCTAGTGCTAGTAATTCCCCGTCTTTTTAGATCGTGGACTAGGGATGAATAGGGGTTGTCTACTGTAAGTCGGTTCGCAAGACGATCACTCAATATACGCCGTACACACGATCATGAAAACCGGGCTCATCGATCCCAGCAACCAAGCCATCTAGTGCCTAACATCCCCCATTCACGCCCAGTAAGTTACCTTAACCACCCTCCAGGAAGCCTCTCTAGTCATAGTAAGCATCATCATTCCTGGTCACTGTTAGGTTTCAAGTTAAGCTAGGCAGTCTGACCTTACCTAAACTTCAACATCAAATAATAGCTACATTTTTCAGTTGAATCATGACTTTGAAGAACGAGCACATCATGATCTCTCCATCAGGGTTATATCTTTCTCCCCCTAGTGCGGGGTGAAGTTTCATCGCCGTCAAGGTGCTGGTACAAGACTCCAACACTACCGGCATGATCTCGTCTCCGCCATTGGCCGCGCACACCATCTTCGCTTAAGATGGCCCATTCCACCATTCGCATTGATCAAGCTAGAATAGTAGCTCTGTGGACTCCCTGTCTGCTTTTCGCTGGCGGTAGATGACCCCCCACGTCCGATCTAAGCAGGAAATCTCGCATGGATCATCTCGGTAACATTCCCGAATAGAGTTGTAACGGTGACAACGCCCGGCGTCTTGGCTTTCTCTGAGCTCGGCGGCAATACTAAAAAGTCGTCACCCACAAAGAAGATGAAGAAGAAGAGTCCAGATCCATTGAATTGACTGGACAGCAAATGCCCCTGGACGGCAAAGCTTAATTTTCCCCCGATGGCCTGACGTTTATTTTTTATTTTTTTTATCTTTCCCGATTTGATTCTTCGACGTCGAAAGCCTATTTCGACTTCCACCCCCCTCCTCCTCCTCCTCCTCCCGATGCCTTAAAACACCCATTGTCGAGTAGACATGGTGGTTCAACTGCTGAGTGAGGTAGTGGGCATTGCTGTCATAGTTCTTTTGTATTCTCTTCTGTGTCTGGCGGCCAGCTCGCTTATGATCTGGCTCGTCTGGAGACATCATGAGAGGGATAGCTGTACGTCGCTAATTGCCGAGCACCATCTCTATACCAATCTCGAAGATACGTATTAACAACATTAATAGATGTCGCATTACTGTCTTATTCCACGCTTCTGGGCACCGTCACAAGCATCATTCAGCAAATTCACACACTCGTTTGGTGGAGGGATGTCAAGGTTCAACAATACGAATACACTTTGGCGAATGTCGGGACCCCTGAGATAGCCATCGCAGGGCCATCAGTCGGCTTGGATCTTGTTCTCTTTTACATACGCAAGTATTTCATATCTCGTCTAATTCAACACGTCGCTGACTGTTCTTTCTAGAGTACTATACTTATAATGTGGAAGCAATGGCAACCCTCTTCTGGGCCATCGCCCTCACACACACTGTGTTCAAGCTGATAGACTTGTCATCATTCAAGCGCATAAGACACAGGACGAACCAGATGACGAAAGCTGTGGCGGTAATATTGCCTGCAATACTCATGGGCCTCCTGCGACTGAACGCAGTTCAGAGCTCACAGGCGGGATTTTTGGTACTTGCCAACTTTAACAGTACGCATCCCCATTTCGATCCTCATTCTAAATGCAGTCAAAATAATACAAGATCTTCTATCTAGTTATGATCAGTCTTACGTTTGGAAGTATCCTTCTAATAGCAATCCTTCTCAAATACATATATACCCGACATCGACTCGTCTCATGGAATGCGCGCTACATCTTCTCGAGGAGATCCCAAGAGCCGGGGGGGGAGATCCTAAGCGTCTTGGACCGTGGAGACGGTCGTCAAAGCATCTACGATCGGTGGCTAGTTCTACGCTTCTCAATTGGATTTGTCGTGCTCGCAGTCTTCCAGTTAATAACTATCCTGTCAGAAGTGGCGCAACTAGCGAGTCATACGAGAGATAAGATAGGTGAAGTGGCAGATTTATCGGCTGCTAAAGCTAAGAGCGATTTCTTGCTCTTCATGCCGGGAGTTTCGACTAGCTTGCTTGTAAGTTCGTACGGATACATCTATCCGTTGCCATTGAGCCCAGATAATTGGACCTCCCTTCTTGGGTATCGAATCTAACAGATGACGTTGAAGGTCTTCATCGTCTTCGGGACTACGCGCACGTTCCGAAAAACAATATACAAAACATTCATCCCAAAACGGTTTCAGAAGCAACCCGTCGAGGCGAACCCTATTACAGCAACCAATCCGGAAGATACCCGCGACGAGGAAGAGGGCAGAGAAAACGAAGGGCCAGCTGATGTTGGGTTGAAGACCGTGAACGAGGAAACCCCGGCCATCGAGGTCAGCGAGTCAAGCTCGGCGCCATCGACTATACCAATAAACGCCGATCGGAAAGACTAGAAGCGCTTAATAAAGTCAACGAGATACAGGGGCACTTGTACGATTAAAGGTACGATTATGAAATTTGAATGCGCTGGGTAATAGGTACTAGGTAATTAAAAGGGATTTGGAGTATCGGGGCCATGGCACTTGGACACGGAAGGGGGGCTTACTTGCTGGGCGTCGTCCGGACTCTGGATAGATGATGATACCCATTTTGTTCTTGTTTTCGGTATGAATAAATGCTTAATTTTTAGTTCCACTTCGCGATCTTCCATACACCCTTTAATGGTTTGGTGTCATGAACATGTCGAGTCGAATGTACCGTTTGTCGGTTCTATCCGATTACGGTGGGCCATTCGCTCGCACCATATCATCACGCTACGATTTCTCATCCTCGATGATAGGTCAACCAATTATGAGTAAGTTCCGATGATGAACTAGAGTCCAATTGCCGGTGCCCTAACGCACTTGGTGCTAGTATCCATACCTAGCATGGGCACCCACTGCAAGATTTATATACCGCTAAATCTGAGCGAAAAGTCATCAGCAGCACAGCCAATCACATTTGGCCCACTTGAGATGAGGGCATCTCATCACTGGTTTGGTGGTCTAGTGGTATGATTCTCGCTTAGGGTACACCCTATAGCCAAATATGCGAGAGGTCCCGGGTTCAATCCCCGGCCAAACCCTTCCTTTTGCCGATTTCGCCTATAACTGAGCTCAAGGGCGAGTCTACTAATTCGTACGGTGTTAAGCAAATTTTTTATTATCAAGAGGATCTAATTAAATTACCTAGAGCTCGGGGCAGCTGGCCGACGTGCTAGTATAGTCATTGATCCAGTGCATCAACTTTTGACTGATGGTGACTCAAGTTTTCAAGACAGCCTCAACGAGTCCCTCAACCTCTGCACCGACTGACCAAAACTTGACGACCTCTAACCCAGCAGCATCGAGTAGCTTGGTAAATTGCGCTTCCGTCCATTCCATTCCATTGGCAACAGCTAAGCCAGGAGCATGTCAGCGCGTCACATCCTGATCTATAAAATGCTGCATAACATTTACTCCAAAGGTCAAGGGGAGGCTCACCGATCATGTTAATGTCGAGCAACGCGGGATAAAGCGGAGTATTGCTGGCGGGCAGTACGAACTCCGACATGAGTAACTTCGAATAACCCGGGGTCATGGCCTCCGCCGTGTTCTTGAGAATCTTGATGCACTCGGCGTCGGACCAGTCGTGGAAGATGGAGCGGAAGTAATAACATCGGGCACCTGTTGTCTTGGATTAACCCTATATTCGGTCGCGTACAGGAACATAGCAAGATAACTCTAAGTACCTTTGATTGGCTGGGGTCGGAAAAAGTCGTGCTTCGTACGCTCAACCTTAGGAGTAAGCTCCTGAATATTGTCTATAGTGGGCGGGAGGTCTTGAAGAACAAGACGGCCAGGGGCATGTGGATAGCGCCTGTGAAATTCAGTAATATCATGGCCCTCGCCGCCACCGATGTCAATCATCAACGTAGCATCAGAGTCTGTCTGGGCGCCCTTGAGCAGAATGTCGTCGACATCGAAAAAGTCAAATCATTGCTTGCGATCTATCCGCTGACCCGACATGAAAGCATTGAAATTGCCCATCATTGACGGGTCCTTGATCAGCCATTCGAACATGTTGTCCTGCGTGCTGTGAGCATCTTGGAACGGGCCTGGGGACCCCTCCACATTCTTGAAGCCCGTTTTCTCCAGGTAGAATGGCATGTTAGCCAATGATCGCGTGAGGGCGGAAAACCTGATAATTGGGCTTTAGTGCTGCTTCCTTTTAGAGAATAGAAGTAGACTCACATGAATTGATATCCCCCAAGCAGAACACGGTCTACTAGAGCCTTTGTGATTGCTGTAGGTGCATATGTCTCCTGGCTTGTTTCTTTCACGATGCCTAAGGCGTTCAAGGGTCGCAGAAGCCGCACTTTACAATGTTGGTAACTTGATCATCATTCAGAATATAGGGAAACTTCATACCTATCAGAAGTTTCTCGGCTCCCGTGGACTTGGCAAGGTCATCGGCAGATGAAGGGACGTCTGTTTTGGCAATTTCTTGGATAACACCGGCTTTGATCAGGGTCATCAATGCAGAAGGGGCATGTGGCTAGGAGTCTCGCATTAGATTCATGTAAGAAAAGGTTCACCAGGCCATGTATCTATAACTTACAGACATCATGATCCTCCAAATGGTGTCAACTGGCGTTTCCAGCATTGCCATCGCCTGCGTGGCCGCCCCAAGCATTTGCTTGCGAGCCGCCTCATCTTTGCTGGCAAGGACACTCTGCACAGCCTCGATGAAATCAGTGGAAGACTTCTCGGAGCTAGCCATGGTGTATGATTATTTATTTTTTTCTTCTGTTTAGAATATTTGCTGCTGTTTGACGGACTTGGAGTATGGCGGTGAAAAGGTGAAATCGCTGGGAGGATTCGGGCCCTTGTTACCGCCAAGGGGTTGACGGTTTTATAGGTACCTGACTTAGCCCTTACCTGGATTCTACTCTCTGTAATAATTATATACTGGAATTGGTGAGGGAAGTATTAAAATTGAAACAACTAAAGACAGGATATCCCAGCAGACCATAAGTTGACCTAGAAAAATACTGTTATTTCGGGCAGTGATGAAATGGACGTTGGGTCATGCAGGCTATGCCTCGTTATTTCTGGCCAATGGTATAATTATCTAGCCAATTGCTAACAAAGAGCTAGCTGGTATGTTATACCTGCATCTGTTTAGCCCTACAAGGTCAGACTACAGGAGCTATTAGTTAGATATTATACGCAGATACATATCCTTTACAGTTTTCACATGCTATATTCGGACTAATCCATTCCCTTCAATACCTACGCAGGTACTTCTTTAGTGTGTGAGGATTTGTAACAATTGGGCATATGCCATTGGAGGATTTATGTTTATCATGGGATGCAAAGATATGTCTCCAAATCTGTGGCCGCTAAGCTGAAGGACTAAGACAAGAGACTATGGACTAGGACAGGACGTTGATTTCAGCTCGTTGACGCTATTCCCATCTAGGTTGTTAGGCTACTTTACTATTATGAATCGCGATGTGTGTAGGCAGTTATCAAATCAGTCTATCCTCCTCACGAGACCAATTTGCCGCCACGTGTATGTATGGGGTAGTATTTATGATTCGAACCTACGGGTGTCAGATATTAGCACTTCCTCTACATGTATATTACTCCGTGAATCCAATACTTCTAGTGTTTACTTCATTCTTATACTATTAATTGCCCTACCTAAGAACTAATAAAGTGATTAACCAAGCATACTACCTAGTAATTGCTTGCATCGGGTTTTACGTCACTGTGTTCCCTATTGGTTTGATATGAGATACACAGAATCCATCTCCTGCCAAATTTACATATCTTTAGACGAAACATATGTATTCGAAAGGGTTTACTAGTGTCACCATGCTGAGCTTGCTAGTCCTACGCATATAAATATGATTGTTGGATGTCATACCCCTTATTTGACTTAAGAGATGCATGGCGTACTTGTGTCAATCGAAGTTCATAGGCGAGACAATATATGGGCAGCATAGCTCCTAGAAACTACCGGAGGTTGACTACTTCATAATAGCTTATCAATGATTCAATACATTTTTCATTACAAGACATTGTTACCGCCCCGGACGTCAATCTTTTCATATGCAAATAGATCTTAGCATGCAGCTGTGAGAATGTTCAAATCGCCCAATCATGAATGCAAGGTAAGTACCAATCCTTGAACTCGAATCTATATCGCATCCCAGAATAATGAAACCAACCTGCTATAAAACTATTAGCCATGTCGCTCCACTAGAGGGTCCGGATTATAGACCACAGTTGAAATAAAAATTTTCAACACCGGACGATCCGGTACAACTAGCCCGGTTAGCTCAATCGGTAGAGGTTAGTTCTTCCACCACGAATATTCACTACTCAACACGGTATACTAACTTATTCACAGCGTGAGACTCTTAATCTCAAGGTTGCGGGTTCGACCCCCGCATCGGGCTCAATTCCTGATGCTTCCCAGTTATCCTGGGATATTCAACCCATCTTTTTTGTAGTTTTTCTTTCGTCATTTGACTACTGAGAGGACAATTAACATATATAGAATACACATGTTTAAATATGAGGTCTAAGCTAATTATGTTGCAGGTTATGGTCGAGCAGGATGTGGACTCGGAAAGACCCCGGCGGGTCACCATAAAATTTTTGACATTTCTCTTGGTAACAAATTTCTCACCCGACTATCTCAACCCCAAAACAGCTAATCCAAGCATGAATTAGTATTATGCTCAACATGAAGAGCTTATGAAGCTATGTGAAAGCAAAGTACCTGCGAGTATTCCTTGGTACGTCGCCGTCGTCGCTGCTAGAAGCAATACCGGCTCTTGTATGTTACCTGGTAATAATCGACAAGGGGTCATAGCGTTACTAGAAACAGTGAGCTATATTTTCACAACAACTTCAAAGTTCCATCAACTCGGCACTCATCGTGAAGGAATCATCGCATAAAGGCATATGTTCAGCTGGAAGACCCAAAGCATCGGATGGAAACCTTACGTCCGGAATGAACACCCAATTTCGGCGACGAATACCACGGACGCTTACTTTCCTAGGAAGGTAAGAATTACGACGTCCCCATTTAAAATCCCCAGCGAAACCGAGAAAGGGGGCATTCGTCCGCTGTTACATTGGACCGTCGTGTAGGGTTCGACGGTTGATTGGCTACTGATCTTGATCAATCTTATCAGATCCGATGATTAGATCGCTTTCAAGCCTTTAACCCACATCTTCAACCTCTCAAGCGTGCAGACATGGCAGTACGGCATCGGTATTTCTCCTGATTTTTACTAAAGACGGGTCGAGTGATAATATGTGGCCCCTTTATCATTTCGGCATCTAATCCTGATATGCCAAATGATCGACAAGAAGACTGTGAATGTTCACCCGGATATAATAGCTCGTAAGTTTAACCTACTTAGGTAGTGATCTGCCAGTATCATCAGCTATTATTAGGTAATATATCTGCCTCGCATGCCTCTCGTAGTCGTCCTTCCGGCAATCGAATGTTGAATCAAGACTTAGATATCCATGGCTTCCTGGGATATCACAGACAATCTGACCACAATTTGGATTCCGGATGTGCTAGGATAGTAGTAATTGCATTGACATGGAAATTTGGAACCATAGCACGGTAGACGCAGCAATGAAAAGGACCCTTGACTAGCGCCAGGTACCTCTAGCAGGGACTACGTCGTCCTTGATCAGCGTAGTATTATGACTTCCGCTTCGTAACCCACATAGAGCTCTAGAAACCGAGATCGGGGTTTATCGTGACAGCCCGATCCTTTAGTATATAATAGGAAGGAGTTGTCGTTGAGAAAAATGTCGTTGCATCTCTGTGTCACTATCCACCGAACTCCACGTGGTAGCCCAGCATGCGCCTTTCCTCTTACACTACAAGTTTCCTGACATGGTATCTCCATGCTCAGCTAGCTTCGGCAGAAGACACATGGCCATGGCAGACGTACAAGTCTAGCTCGGCACAGCCGTAAGTACCTGAAAGAGGAATTGGACTTCAGACAAGAGAAACTAACTAAAATCAACAGTCCGTCTCTGAATATCACGAAATACGGTCCGACTTCTCCTGGGTACCTCTTCTTCGACCAGAATGGACAGGACGCACACAACTACAGTCTATTCATCATGTCTGATGACAACGAGCTCGTCTGGGAGGGCGCTTATGGCGACTACGCCGCTTTCAGGGTGCAGACCTTCGAAGGAAAGTCTGTGTTGACATTCTTCAACGGCATCTCTCTTCCGGAGCCATGGGGCTTTGGTTACGGCATAGTCCAGATTCTCGATGACACATACACGAACATCTACAACGTTTCGTTAACCGCAGCCGGAGAGAACTTTGTTCCCATCTCTGATCTTGAATCCGCCGGTCTTGAGTCGTACCTTGATATGCACGAGTCTCGCATCACGGACCAGGACACGATACTAGTGACGGTGTATAACGTGACCCAATACGACCTGAGCCCCTTTGGGGGTCCGGAAGACGGCTGGGTGGCTGACTCTCTGTTTTACGAACTCGATGTCAAGACCAACGAAGTGCTTTTTAAATGGAGTGGTCTAGACCATGTCGACCAGATTCCCATCTCGGATGTCCTGCAGTTCTATCCTATAGAGGATAAGGGTGTGAATCAATCGATTCCGTATGGTTACTTTCACATGAACTCGATTGACAAGTTCGAGGATGGGTCGTATCTGATATCTTCGAGATACTACTGCTCCATCTTCAAGATTTTGAAGAATGGTACAGTTGAATGGACTCTACAAGTAAGTCTCAACCTTTTTCCGTCATGTTTATTAATCTTGTCGAATCCATTGCCAGAGATCAAACTAACTCGACATAGGGACAAAGTGGTGGCGATTTCGAGCTTGATGGCGGACTATCCTTCTGCTACCAACACGACGCCAGGATTAGAAAAGAAGGAGGCAACACTGTCCAGATCAGCCTTTTCGACAATGCAAACTCAGATGTCGTAAGCGGCGTCAATCAAACCAAGGGCCTTTTCTTGACCCTGAACATGGAAACCATGAAGGCGACACTAGATCAAGCTTTGGCTGATCCTACCGACCCAGTCTACGCCGTTTCTCAAGGAAACGTGCAGCAGCTAGATGATGGACATGTCATCATGGGATACGGCGCAACGCCCAAGATCCGGGAGTACGATGCGGACGGTTCTGTCGTTATGACGGCTCAATTTGGATCAGGAGAAAACCAAGTGTTCTCCTATCGCTCCCACCGGCTCCCATGGGTTGGGCGACCCGCAACACCTCCAAGCGCAGTTGCTTGCGTGGATGAAGCCACCAACCAGACGTCGGTGTACATGAGCTGGAACGGAGCGACGGAGCACCAGTCCTGGAAGGTGTTTGCTGGACACAGCAATTCTAGTCTCACAATTGCTGCCACTGTAAAGAAGACTGGCTTCGAAACCGTGGCAAGCATACCAGGACGAGCATCCTTGTTTAGAGTCGAGGCGGAAGGCCCTGGGATCGTAAATACAGCATCTGCTGTTGTGGCTGCTCAGATCGGCTGCTGATTGTGGGAATGAGAGTAGGTGAAAGGTGAAAAGAGCATTTAATGTATTGTGTACACCATCGCGAGCGGAAACTTCAATTCAGACAAGCAGAACAAGTCTTGGGTATGTAAAATGGGTTTAATATGAAACTTGGAAAATTGATGGAAAAGAAAAGGAAAACAAAAATGGATTTGGAAGCATGGGAAATTGAAAAGGGCGGGGAAAATAGTACCTAAATCGCTAAAAATGCCTGAAAATGCACCCCGCCTGCTCGCTAAATGCCCTGCAATCCGCTACTATCAATGAACTCCAGGGCTATCTACCCCGCTATAACATTTCAGTTGAGGTCGAATGAAAGTGACGATCACGGTAGCTTCAACCTTAGATTTATTTCTCTTATACCTTCTTAACCAAGACTTAAAAAGAGTACCTATTATAAACCATGGAACCAGCAAATCCCAAACCCAAGCGCAGGAAACCACAAAATCCCATCGAGCTAGCCATCACAGCATGGCTGCACTCAACCCCGCCGATGCAGCAACCACAAGAACGGCTCATCGCCGAAGGTCCAAGACGATGGACCGTCTACGAGCCCATGGTCCTCCTACCAGCGGGCTCATTCTCCTTTAAATCTAGCACCTGGCAGGCCCTCTTATCCAGCCTACCCGTCTCTTCAGTGAACGATCTATGGATCCGGATTCTAGCAGAGATCTCAAAAAGCGCTGGAGGAACGGCCCTGACACACCTCGCTGTGAACGAGGGTATCCCGGCGGCGCTTCAAGGAGCCAGCAAGCGGGATAACGATGCGTCAGATACAGAGAATATCCTGCGCAGTCCAACTGGTTTACGGATCTTGCACGGGAACTTCGGGCCGTCTGCTGTGGATGAGTCGGAGACGGCGCCTGGTTTTGAGACCGCAATCTGGGTTTCCACAAGACAGAACGGCGTGTTCCAGACTTGGGCGCCGCGATGGACTATGTTCAGTCGGGGAAATATCAAAGAGAAAGCTCGGTTACTCGACTTTCACAATGACAGACCAGCCAAGGTGAAGGATGCATGGGCTGTGGATATGTACGCCGGGATAGGATATTTCACCTTTTCGTATGCCAAGCTAGGAATGAGGGTGCTGTGCTGGGAGTTGAACCCTTGGAGCGTGGAAGGGTTGCGTAGGGGGGCCTTGGGGAATGGGTGGTCGGTACGGATTGTCAGGAGTGAGACTGATCTTGGGCTGCCGATGGAGGAGCTAGTTGGCGGTGGCGAGCGCATTATTGTTTTCCTCGAGGATAACAGACATGCGGCGCGGAGGATTCGAGAGCTACGTGAGCTCGATATGAACATATTGCATGTCAACTGTGGTTTGTTGCCTACTAGCGAGGCATCTTGGAAGGACGTATGGGAGATTGCTACTCGGAGTAAGGGGGACGAGACATGGCTACACCTACATGAGAACGTAGGTGTCGCGGACATCTCGAGACGAAAGGAGGAAATCAAGCACTATTTCCTAGACCTAGCATCTAAAGATGTTAGCAACAAGACGGCTCATGTGGAACATGCGGAACAGGTGAAGACATTCGCGCCTGGGGTTTGGCACTGCGTGTTTGATCTGTATATTACAAGGTCTAGTAGCATAACATGAACATGTTGTACATTCTGCATCGTCGAAAACTCATTAAATCGTGTATATCTCCTCACGTATGCCAACCTACACACACTCAACGCCATTCATATGCTCTCGTCCAAGCTAGCCAATGGATCCAATTCAGAAATTTCATATTAGGGGGTATCATAAACCTTAGCCGCCTCGTCTAAACTTGCTCGGGATATTGTCCTCCACAATAGCCATGCTGTTCAGCTTCTCGAGCCTCGCTTCCTCGTCCTCCATCATCTCGTGCTTCTTGAAATGCTCAATGTCCTCCGGA